TACATACAGTCACTCACTGTCCCATTACATACAGTCACTCACTGTCCCATTACATACAGTCACTCACTGTCCCATTACATACAGTCACTCACTGCCCCATTACATACAGTCACTCACAGTCCATCATATACAGTCACTCACTGCCCCATTACATACAGTCACACTCACCATTACATACAGTCACTCACTGTCCCATTACATACAGTCACTCACTGCCCCATTACATACAGTCACTCACTGTCCCATTACATACAGTCACTCACTGTCCCATTACATACAGTCACTCACTGTCCCATTATATACAGTCACTCACTGTCCCATTACATACAGTCACTCACTGTCCCATCACATACAGTCACTCACTGTCCCATTACATACAGTCACTCACTGTCCCATTACATACAGTCACTCACTGTCCCATTACATACAGTCACTCACTGTCCCATTACATACAGCCACTCACTGTCCCATTACATACAGTCACTCACTGTCCCATTACATACAGTCACTCACTGTCCCATTACATACAGTCACTCACTGTCCCATTACATACAGTCACTCACTGTCCCATTACATACAGTCACTCACTGTCCCATTACATACAGTCACTCACTGTCCCATTACATACAGTCACTCACTGCCCCATTACATACAGTCACTCACTGTCCCATTACATACAGTCACTCACTGTCCCATTACATACAGCCACTCACTGTCCCATATTATACAGCAACTGTCTGTCCCATATTATACAGCCACTCAGTGTCCCATTACATACAGTCACTCACTGTCCCATTACATACAGTCACTCACTGTCCCATTACATACAGTCACTCACTGTCCCATTACATACAGCCACTCACTGTCCCATATTATACAGCAACTGTCTGTCCCATATTATACAGCCACTCACTGTCCCATTACATACAGCCACTCACTGTCCCATTACATACAGTCACTCACTGTCCCATTACATACAGTCACTCACTGTCCCATTACATACAGTCACTCACTGCCCCATTCCAGTCACTTATACCCATTACATACAGTCACTCACTCCCATTACATACAGCCACTCACTGTCCCATTACATACAGCCACTCACTGTCCCATTACATACAGTCACTCACTGTCCCATTACATACAGTCACTCACTGTCCCATTACATACAGTCACTCACTGTCCCATTACATACAGCCACTCACTGTCCCATTACATACAGTCACTCACTGCCCCATTACATACAGCCACTCACTGTCCCATTACATACAGCCACTCACTGCCCCATAACATACAGCCTCTCACTGTCCCATTACATACAGCCACTCAGTGTCCCATTACATACAGTCACTCACTGTCCCATTACATACAGTCACTCACTGTCCCATTACATACAGTCACTCACTGTCCCATTACATACAGCCACTCACTGTCCCATTACATACAGTCACTCACTGCCCCATTACATACAGCCGCTCACTGTCCCATTACATACAGCCACTCACTGCCCCATAACATACAGCCTCTCACTGTCCCATTACATACAGCCACTCACTGTCCCATTACATACAGTCACTCACTGTCCCATTACATACAGTCACTTGTGAAAGGGTCTTCAGTACACAAAATGTGATTGTCACTTGAGAGAGAAGTCGCCTCTCTCCTGTTGTTCATGGTCAGGCTGCAGGGAAAGGGTCTCTCACAGCATGATTTCTCAAACAGTCTAAGGAAATTGACCCTGAGAAAGAGACTACACAGATTGTAAATTTAAGAAGACGCAATGAGAAATTGAATGTTGAGGCGAAGATGTTAATCTTCATTCTTACTGTTTTGTGTTATAGTTCTTATTCATCTGATAGCACATGTAACTTCATAAATGCATGATGAAAAAAAACAGTACTTGTTTTATGTTTTTAGCTGAGCTGCAGAGACAGAACTATATAAGAATATAGTAAATGTAATAAAGGCTGGTTGTTTTTCACTATCACTTCAAAAATTATTTAAGTAAAGCTATTTAAGTTAGTTTCAAGGCCCATTGTCTTGGAGCAATGGCCCTTTGAAAACTGAAAAGGACCCCTCAGGTTCATTGATATCAGATAGTTTCTGAAAGAACAAATGACACATCTAAGAATTGTTCCCAAGAATCAGTTATGTATTCTGACAAAATGGAGAGGCTCCTGAAGTGGGATGTGTAAACCCCGTAGATGTCTAACGGTAACTTTACCATTAGAGTTATCACCCCTTAGAGTGACTTTTTGGTCCCCCCCACCCCTTAAACAACAATCAAACTTTGAGTGTCATTTGTCACATGTTACACTGACTGTTCTCCCAAGGGGCAATTGTCTCAACAGGAGAAGTGGCCTTCCTAATCACTGGTGTAATACTAGGAAAGAGAAAAGAAAAATATTTTACTATAGTGTCACACACTTCATAAAAGTGTCTGGCCAACATTGACCTCTGAGACACTAAATGCATATGGGACATGTTGTATCGAAAGTAATATATTAAAAGGCTAATACTGTAAAAGGTGCTGATTCATCATGTGTGTGTACAGCCACAGGTGTGTGTGTACAGCCACAGGTGTGTGTGTACAGCCACAGGTGTGTCTGCATTATTTCACTCATATTGTTCATACTCTATACAATTGACTGTAGATGTGACACAGCCTTTACTGTTAAATTTGATGATGATGCCGCAGTGGCTGGACTACTTATTAGAGAATCTGAAGTGTGTTAGTAGTTATAGGAATGAAGTCAATAACTTCATCAAATGGTGTAGTTCAATTTTTCTACTTTGGAATGAGAACAAAACAATCGAAATGATCATCGATGTTAGAAGAGATAAGCCATCTTACTCACCAGTAAGCATATGTGGTGAGGATATTGAAGTAGTTGAGGAATATAAATACAATATGTATATCGGTACAATTTTAGGACTCTAAGTTATCATGGAACTCTAACACTAATATCTAAACAGTGCCAGCAGCGATTAAGACAAGACATTTTGTTCTTTCACTAAAAGTGCTTGCCGAAACGCACCCAGTGCATACTGGTCATATCGCCTGAATAGACTCGGAGATGGGTATGAGTGCACATGAAAGATGATGTAGTATGGGGTATATAAGAGAGTGGTAAACACCGGAAGATTCGCTCCCCATCCGCTCTTAGGGATTAGACTGGTAGGATTGATTCGTTTTGCTATTGTGGCATTAGATAAGTAGCTTTTGAGCATTACATTGTTGTACATGTATTAGAATATTGTAGTGTTTAGACGTTAGACAATCAGTAAGAGAATCATGTTTAGTTGATTGTAAATCATCCAGTTTTCTCACTGGTAATAGTTGTCACGTTAAGTTCCTTGTTTAGGCTTCAAAATTTAGTTCAGGTTTTCAGTTACATATATTAGACAGCTCTGCACGTGTTTATTTCCTCTGCACAACAGAAATTACATTTCTTATGGAAATTAAAACACTTCCAGTTAGATCAAACTATTATGATGCTCTTTTATAGAAGTTTTATTCAGTGTGTTCTGCTTTCAACTTTCTCTGCTGGTATGGGAACCTGTCTGTTCAAAACGAAAACAAAAATTTGGAAATTCTCAATACTTCCTGTAAAATAACTGGATTACCCGTGGAAAGTATCGGCAATTTTTATGAGAAGCAAATTATTAAAAAGAAAAACAAAATTTCAAGCGACTCTACTCATGTTGTGTTTTCGGAACATTCTATTTTCCCTTCAGGCCGTAGACTGTGTGTGCCGACATTAAGAACAACCAAGGCTCGCCTTTCCTTTGTACATATTGTTATATCCTGTTCAATAATGGGTTTTGCCTGTGTGCAACTACGCGCCAGTTTATGTATGATGTCATGTATGTGACATCACTTGCAGTTTTCACTTCTGGATTAAACACTGAAGTAAAGAAGTCTGTTTGTTATCAATGTGGAATCTTTTAATGGATTCATGTTATGGAATCGAACCAGTAGATGAACCAGATACATAACACATATACCTTCAAGTATATTAGAAATGAACAAAAAAAAAGGGATTGTGTCTAAAATAAATTGTGCGGAAATATGTTACTAGGCTAATGTATCACATATGCATGTATGTGTGTATCTATGTATCATTATGTGACCTTCTACACTAGATATGCTGATTTTATTATTTCAAATGTATTTATATTATTTTTCATGAATGGAGAGCTGAAACTGTGCAATATAAATTTCCTTTTGGACAACAATGAGACATAAAGAAAAATGAGGACTATTCTTATGGATATACAACTTCTTTATTCTGTATAGGCGGCGTTTCGACCACTTGCATGACGACATTAGAATCTATGTCAAAACGTCACCTATACAGAATAAAGAAGTTGTATATCCATAAAATGGTCCTCATTCTTCATCTACCCAAATTCTAGAATGCCAATCAAAGAAGTAATAATGACATATCTTATCTTACTGAACAATCTCTTAACCAACTGGTGGATTTAATAAACTCTTTTTTCCGGCACAGACACTTGATTCATATAATGAACTATGATTAAAATGAGCTAAAATTAGCGGTCACTTTGAGTTTGTTATAAATTTAGTTAAATGTATATTGTCAACTTTTCAATCATAAACCCTTGCAACTATTCTTTAACAATCTCAAGAAGACACAAGGGGTAACTGGCCACCAGTCTGAATAGGATTTATGAAGGTGGGGGTGTTCTCAGACGCGATGTTGGGGCATGTTTTGACTGTCATGGCTCTCGGCTCACTGGGAGACTCTTAAGAATATGTAATCCTGTTGACGAACAGATTCTATAGACTATATGTACCCCTCTATATCATCTTACGTTGATCATGTGGGTTGTAGTCATAATATCAATCAATGGTGACACTGATCACCATATTTACATGGGATATAAACATAATAGGTGGGAATCAATATTTAGATATCACATTCTTCAGATTTGAAATGGCTTATATTATCTAATCATCCACATGATATATTCACCTTTGCATTCTGTCTGTCCCATTTCCCTCCAGTGACCGAAACCCATCTCTTTTCCTTTCCACCATCTGTTGATACTTCATGAAAAAAGACTCGTGTGCCATACAACCTTTCTACTTTGCTTTTCAGAGAGTCGATCAGACCAACTTTATCACGACAAACGATGAATTCATCAGAACTTTCCGTTGCGGACATCGTTTGTCTACTAATCATTCCATTTCATTAAGAAAGCTATTATTTCAAAATCTGTGGACAGTGATATGTTACGTTAATCTGTTATTTCGAAATGTTACATTTTGCAACGAAAAACGTATCAAAATTCAATGTTGATTACGAAGTAACCGAAATCCTGGAATTCCCAACTTCCGTTCCTGATGTCATATCCATGCCTATCGCGCATGTGCAGTCATTCATTTTGAAGCTGGTTCCCGTATCTCTATGCGCGGCCTCACCAAACCAAGTTATGAGACGGAGCCACCCAACTCACAACAGTGAAGGGAAGCGATCGGAAAGGGAATTCCCCTTTTCCTAACTGTGGTGCAGTTTAAAATGTATTTTGTTGTTGTTGTTTTTATAAACGAAAGACGAAAAGCGTTTTTGGAGGGCAGGATAAAGGCTGTATCTAACTCAATATTCCACAAAATAAATGGCCAGAATCTCTCTGAAAAACCTGAGCAGAATCTGCAGCAATGTGAAGCAGAAGACTTCATCATTTATTTTAAAATGTATATTTCTAAACAATTAATTAAGGTTTTAAAGTTTAAACAAGTGTTTGTAGTAAAACTATGTTCAATCCAATTGGCCCAAACGGGCCAGAACTTTTCGAATCGCATTTTTTTCTCACTCTTTATTTATACAAATAAGACCACGATTGGTACATATATATCGACCTCCATATGCCCCGTTCTCAGGGCACCACGGTCTTTTTCACTCATATTTGAAGCCATGGCCTCATTCAATATAGCCAATGGAAATACACTGAATGCAAGGTTATCGACTATTTACTGTAAAGTCAAAAGTGGATAACATTATGATCTTATATCCTTAAGAAATACGGTTTATTACTTCTTGCTGTTTGATAAATTCCCTTTTAAAATTTTGAGTGTTGGAACAGTATTTGTGAATGAAACAATTAGGAAACAGACAGCTATATACATGTATGTACATGTTAAAACAACAACATTATGAGATAACAAGCGAAATGAGTAGTTAATTGGCACTAAATGGTGGATGGACAAATTTAAGCCAGGGGGTAAAAAAACAAATGGAAGCCAGGCCTAATAGTGATTTCCATGAGACTTTTTGTTATTCCATATCATATGATAATATAAATCGTCATATCATATGATAATATAAATCGTCATATCATATGATAATATAAATCGTCATATCATATCATAATATAAAATCGTCATATCATATCATAATATAAATCGTCATATCATAATATAAATCGCCATATCATATCATAATATAAATCGTCATATATCATAATATAAATCGTCATATCATATCATAATATAAATCGTCATATCATATCATAATATAAATCGTCATATCATATCATAATATAAATCGTCATATCATATCATAATATAAATCGTCATATCATATCATAATATAAATCGTCATATCATATCATAATATAAATCGTCATATCATATCATATTATAAATCGTCATATATCATAATATAAATCGTCATATCATATCATAATATAAATCGTCATATCATATCATAATATAAATCGTCATATCATATCATAATATAAATCGTCATCTCCTTCGGTAAACTCCTCCTGCCAATACTGTAATATATTCTCATAAAATGTGGTCAAACTCAACTTGAATCGTTTTTACACTAAAATCGCATTGTAGTAAATATTGCAGAGAACCAAATACCAGGGAGACTATGTACATTATCCCTGCTAATACATTAAAAATGACTTCAATGATACTGTTCCAAAAGCTATTTTTCTTAAAATATCAGGAAATCCATACAAGTTTAAGTGATTTATCTTTTAATTATAAGTCTAAAGACATTGCATACCGATGTTGGATTTTAAAGGTCACATGCAGCGTAAAACACAGCTTTGCAGATTCTGATATATTTCGGTATGAACTTACAGTAACAAATGATCAAAATGCAAATTCACAACTTATGAAGTTGAAAAATAACGCGATGAGTTCAAACGATTAAATAAATTCATCCCAGCTGGGGTGTAAAGTGGTTTCAACAGCTGTGCTGCGCTGCACTGCGCTCGTGGAGCATGCGCAGTGAAAATGTGTCTGCCTGCCTGTCTGCTAATGACAATATGCAATACACAACTTCGATCACTGACCACATGCAATTTGAACTTAACACCCATCAGGCTATACACCATAAACAAAACGCATTGATTTATGGCTCGTGCACCCGAGTGCTGTCTCTGTCACATTATGTAATTACACAGACAGGCAGGTGTGATACTTGCACACACATGACATGTAATGATGTCTGTTGATTGCAAAATGTTATACCCCAAAAATGAGCATGTATTTACAAAACCCAACATCTCTATACACACACAAAGAGTGTATCGGCAAAATGAACTAGCCAATGAAAGCCTTCGTTACACTTAAGTGCACGCCCATCCGCTCTAGCTGGGTTTGGTATCCTGGGTGCTTCGTTTCGAGGGAAGTAAACCCAAGTAAAAAATATTGAACTTTTGATTTGCGATTGTACGCTTATAATTTTGTTTATTTGTCTCTTTCATAATCAGCAATGTATATTATATATCACTAATAAGGGATGTGTTTTAATTATGTTTGTTATTTTGGTTGCATGTGACCTTTAAGTATTTCATTTTCCTCTTTTACAAAAGAGACATCATTTCTTTGTATGTAACACTTTTTCTTTACCTATCTGACCGCCTCCGTGGTGTAGCGGTTAGAGCGTCCGCCCGGTGAGCGGAAGGTCGCGCGTTCGATCCCCGACCGCGTCATACCAAAAGACGATAAAATATGGTACTTGTTGGTCCCTGCCTGGCACTCGGCATTAATGGGTACAACAAGGATTGGTCGGCTCGGAGTCAGTATAATGTGTCTGAGTGGGGTATTCATGCTTCACTGCGGCATGGTATCTCAGTGGGCTAGCACTATAAAACCAGCTTCAGTCTTGGCTAGTACAAGCAGCCGCACATACACACACACGCGCACGCACGTCGTCATATGAGCGAAATCTTCTCAAGCACGACGTTAAACCCACTTTCACTTCACCTCTGTGCGGTGCCCCTGAAATCGCTAGGACATTGTGTGGTCATCCAACGGAGCCGTATGATGACCGTACTGCAGCCTTGCGATGGACTAACCATTTTTACCATGGGAATATACATTAGCAATCCCTATCCGTTCTATCATTTATCACAGTTCAAGACGACAAGATGTACCCTAAACGCCAAGAAACGTTACCCTCTTTCCTTAATGACGGAGGTATCTTTTTTTTTAGTTTATACATATTTTATTCACAATGTGAAAAGGATCGGGGACAAGTTCTTTCAACATATTAAGCCCCTCTCCAAATATATTTACAATAACTAATTACATCACAAGCAATTATTAGAAACAGAGACAGAGAAAGACTGAAATATAACAGGGGAAATGTTATAATACAAAAGGTGTATAGAGAGAAGACTACTGGAATCGTTTGGATTTGCATATATATTGATGTACATTTTTGAATATAATTTCATTTTTATGATTTGTCAGATCTGCAATGCCGTTTGAAATAACAGATAATGTAATCACAGAATTACTACCACATACATCTTGAATAGCTTTAAGCATGATCTTTCTATGTTGATTGTATAAAGAACATTCTAAGAAATAGTGATGAGCATTTTCTCATGGGTTTCCACATGCGCAGAATGGATCAGTGATTAGCCCTGCGCTGTACAGATCGTAACTTAATCTACTAGCTTCATGACGTAGTTGAGTATGTTATATGTTAAATGTTCTAATACCGTGAGAAAGGTACAGTGAAGTTGAGTTATATGATGTTATTATGCTCGATTTAAACTTTGATAGTGAAGTACAATTTCTTACATCTATAGATAAATTGTTCCATAATCTTATAGTCGATGGGAAGAACGACTCATGATATTTTTTTATTCTTGTTCTTGGCAAGCAGATATTGCCTGAATTTCTTAGATTATATTGACTCCTGGAGCCCACGCAATGAGGAATTATTTCTTTTAGGTAGATTGTACTTTTGTTGTTTTGAATATTATAGAACAAAGCCAATTTTCTTATTCTTCTACGCTCCATCTGCACCAGCTGTTAGTCGTGGCGTATTTCTCGTACTTGTGTATCGCATCATGCATTCTAGTCTCTCTTTATACCCTATAGATGCATTCTACACGTGAAAGGGATGCACATACTGCTTGGATATTGCTACGTTTTGGCGGTTAATATTGCTGTGTGAAAACAGAAAATGGAAAAATGTTACTTTGCAAGCAAACATGCTAACAAAGATGTTAGATGTTCCAAAATACTTTTTTCACAATATGGAAGACACGGTTTACTTGTTTTCACCAGGGAGACTATATACTGTGTGGGCTTCACACATTACACCCATGCAGGGTAGCTACAGATGAGTGAGTGAGTATAGTTTTACGCCGCTTTTAACAATATTCCAGCAATATCACGGCGGGGGACACCAGAAATGGGCTTCACACATTGTACCCATGCAGGGTAGCTACAGATGAGTGAGTGAGTATAGTTTTACGCCGCTTTTAGCAATATTCCAGCAATATCACGGCGGGGGACACCAGAAATGGGCTTCACACATTGTACCCATGCAGGGTAGCTACAGATGAGTGAGTGAGTATAGTTTTACGCCGCTTTTAGCAATATTCCAGCAATATCACGGCGGGGACACCAGAAATGGGCTTCACACATTATACCCATGTGGGTTTTGCAGATGAATGGTATATCATTTGTTTATGTGGATATTGGTGTATACATTCCTCGAACAAGGTAATAGCCTGACATTATTGCCATAATGTTGTCGGTTTTGATTTTGCTATTTGTATTTTGTTTTTATTCATTTCACTTCAAAGTGTTTTCATTTGTTAATATGAGAATGAAGATGGAATTATTAATGGGTAGAAAAGATGGCTGCATTTTCCAATTAATTCCAAGACGAAATTGTATTTCCTATTTGCTGATCAATGTAATGATAAACCCCTATACTACCAGTTAGGAATTCTGGGATATCATCCGGGTATTCGCGGTGGAAACACAATTACAAAAGCAGCAACCAGTCCCGGGGAATCGCTCTAGATCAGTGTCCCTTTAAGATTGGTCCGGACAAATAATTGTAAGTTTTGATTGTAGC